ACCTATTTATAATTCGGTTGACACACAATGTATTTTTCCTTTTATTCTCTTCATTATATCTTGAAATCAACAAAATTAGTCAAATTTCAATGTTAACTTTCAATTTTTTTATCGTTCAAGGGAACTGACTGTTTTGGGTTGCTTGAATGAAGGGAAAGAAACGTTCTAACTTTGGATGACAATGAACATTTGGAAGTTTTCTCTTCGTTTCAAACAAACTCTGATAAAATATATTTTTCGATAAATGTGTTAACAAAGCTTAAACCTATTCAACAATGTTTCATGTGAGAAAATAGAAATGAATTTTTCGTGATTCATTGGTTTGATTATTATTGAAGTCATATTAATTGTTCAAGAAAGCGTTTTATTTTGGTACAAGAAGGAACTGGAGGTTCAAAAGAGCACTCTGGTTTCTCTTCACAACGAATAAATCTTTCGCCTTTTACTAAAGATTTCCGTGGAGAGGAGCAATCTAATGAGTCTACAGACTATTTTTCAAGCCCTACATTGAAGAGTCAGTGATGAAAGGAAACATTAAGTAGGAATACCACATAGATGATGTATTACAATAGTGAACAACTTTATGGCTTGTTTTCCTAGCTCCTGGTCACTTGGAAATTGGGACTTGCGTGTCATGGACGATTAATTTACTGAAGTATTAAAACACTTTGCGGTAATCATTCAAACTAGTGATTTTAACAAAAGGTATTTCAATGGTTGCATTACATAATGGGATAAAATGTGATCAATGTAAATTTTGTCTCATGGGGCAGTTGAATTACGCGGCTAACGATATAGACATTTCCCCCAATTTGAGTTAAACGAATCCTTGAAAGTTTCTCATTAGTGAGTAGCGTCGATAGCCTAATAATAAGGCTGCCGGACTCGTAATCGTGAAATTGCAGGTTCGGGGGTTCGAGCTTCGTTTCGGTCCGACATTGTGTCCTTGTGAAAGACACTTTACTCGAATTTCCCACTTGGCTCTGATTTTTCGGAGATGTACGTTAAACTTGGATGTCCCGATAGTAACCTAATAGTGGTTATAATGGCGTTAAACCTATACCATTTCTCCATTGTTTTTCTTATTGGTGAATCTAAAACTGTACTAAAACGCAGGTTAACACACGTTCTATCTTCCCTCTTTTCTCCACTGTATCTGGTAATCAACAAAATTAGTCAGGTTTTTTTTCTGACTATTCAAGGGAACTGACTGTTGTGGTTGCTTGTATGAAGGGAAAGAAACATTCTAACTTTGGAAGATAACACAGTCGTGGGAGTTTTCTCTCCGTTTCAAACGCTTTCAAAAAATATCCTTTTGCATATCAGTGTTAACAAAACATAAATCGAATTCAGCAATATTTCAAATAAGGAAAAAAAAGAAACCAAATTATCGTGGTTCATTCGTTGGAAGATTATTGTTATTATAAGGTTGTTAAAGAAAGCGTTTTATGTTGGTTCAAGAGGGAACTGGAGTGTGTTAAGGGCACTCTGGTTTCTCTTCACAACGAATAAATCTTTCGCTTTTTACTAAAGATTTCCGTGGAGAGGAGCAATATTATGAGTCTATAGACAATTTCTCCAAGCTCTACGTTGTAGGGTTCATGATACAATTGAAGTTTTTAGTATGGGGAACTTTATACAAGATCGATAGCACATGAATTGTGTGCTGTTTTATGACTGACTTATTTATTTAATTATTTAGTGTGTACTCCGCCGAGGAAGTGAGTAAATTAATAGCTTTTGTAAACGTGGCCATCTTTTGTTTGCACATTGAGATTTTTTTTATTTGTGTGTAGCGTAGATCCTTTGGTAAACAGGGAAATTGGAAATGTTGAGGGTTTCACTCACAGCCCAAAGCCTTTGGGGGTAAAAATGTTGGATAAAATATTATTTATCATTGATAACACAGTGTGTCAAAGTGTTTGGAATGTTAATAGTAAAGTCTTTTCTTTTCAATACTGAAACCGGCCGATACACACTCACAGCACACACACACACACACACACACGCACGCACACACAC